AATCCTTCAAGATCAAAACGAAGGATCCTCATAGATTCTAACTTGAGAAAACAATTTATTCAATAAAAGTAGTTTAATCTGGACGACTCAATATATTGATTAATCAGAAATGTTAGTGAGACATCAAAATCGAAATCTTGATTCTTAATTAATAGACTAAAACAAGCACGAACAATGTGCTTCACAAAATATACACGTTTTTTTAGTTTAAATTTCGTTCATTTATCAGATGCGACAGCTAGAAGAAATTGACGGAGAACTGAGCTTCTGTTTGAAGGTGACAACAAAGTAGTTTCTTCGTCTGTGGGCAAGGTAACTTCATCAAAAATTTCCAAATCAGAAAGTGTTCTTTTTTCTCAAATAAGAAAAAAAGCAGTTTTTGCCAAACGAATACCCAAGTCAAGAAAGAAGTAGTGTGAGGGTGTGGGTCGATGAGTGTGGGTTTGTAGAAGATAGTTATGATACCCACGCCCACACTGTTCTTAAGTTGAAAGCTATAGTCAAAATATATTCACGAGAGAACATATTTGAATGTCCTCCCTGAGAATGAATTCAAAATTATTCTATGTGTTAGAGACCTCAATTGATATCTTGAATACCAATATCTTAGCTGTTTCCGTTTAGATCTTGAAAAACTAGAATATTAAACTTTCTATATTTAGGCTCTATCTTACTAGTAGATGTATCATGTCCTTTTTGCTCTGTCTTAATTTTGCAAGAACAAACAGTTTTCTTTCGGAGAAAACAACTTGAAATGAACATAAGTCGATACGGATGAGTCATCTCGTTATCAAAAGTGAAGATATCACATCTATGTGTCTCAAGCAAATGTTCATCTGATTGATCACTTATCGTTTTCGATAACATATTTGGATACAGTAGATACAGATAATTAAGTTGAAAGATAGGTGTGATATCTTCAGTTTTTATAACGAGAGGACTCATCCATATCGACTTATGTTCATTTTAAGTTGTTTTCTCCCAAAGAAAACTGTTTGTTCTTGCAAAATAAACACAGAGAAAAAAAGGATATGATACATCTACTACGTAGTAAAAGAGAGCCTAAAAAAAATGTTTAATGCTCTAGTTTTTCGAGATCTAAACGGAAGCAGCTAAGATATTGGTATTCAAGATATCCATCAAGATCTCTAACACAGAATGATTTTGAACTTATTCTCAGGGAGGACACTCAAATATGTTCCCTCGTCAGTATGTGTTAGAAAAAAGAAGTTATATTCCATAAGATTTGTAGCACGTTTGAAGCATAGTTTTATTGTTTTCAAAAAAGAAAGGATTGTTTAAACAGATATGAATTATTTAGGCAATAATTACAATGTTGTATATATTAATGCTACAGTGGTATTTTCAATTGTGACAGCTAGATAAAATCTAAAAATCAACTTGAGTAACTAAGAAGATTCTATGTATGGATTAGCGATTCGAGAAACTCCAATAGAATTGCGAAGATAAGTGTCTGGAAAATCAAGGTTTTATTGACACCATTTTTTTGTTGTCCTTCTGAAGCTTTTCAGAAATGGTTCTATTTTACATAGCGAGATAAAATGCCTTGACTCGTTTCATTGAACTACACTCAATTTAAAGGATATTCAAGCAACATTTTTCTTTTGTTTTCATGAAAAATTTCAATAATTTCACTGTTTTTGACACATTGAGACCTTATGTAAATTGAATGCAACTGAATGAAGAGAGTGAAGATATCTCATTTACTCTATAAAATAGAATCATTTCGGAAAAGATTCAAGCAGATATCTGAAAATTTTCTTTGAGATGGTCTTGATTTTTCAGAAATCTCTATCGAAACAGTTGTATTAGAATTATTTTCTTGCTCGAAAATTGTGTCCGCCAATATCGTAAGTAATGTTTTTGTTTAAAATATACTCTGCGTAATTCGTGTATCATTTGTTATCACAAAAAACAAATGCATAGGAATTTCAAAGATCACCAAATCTACAAAATCAGGAAATTTGATAAGACTAAATCAATATGAATTTGATTTTTATTTTCTTTTTTTACCTTCTTGAAAATGTTTTCTGATAAAATTTATATCTATTCTTTCAAATTTCATATGACTAAAGCAATCTAGAGTTAATAAAAGAGAAATACATTTTAGTTTTTTTGCTTTACCTTAATTCCTGATTAAAAAATGATCAAAACATCAAATAAAACTGATTTATCTTTAAATTTATTTGATGATAATCAACAAACAACTGATACAACTATTGTGATATTTATCAATGGAGAGAAACACCGACAAGAATGTATTGCTGAAATTAAAAAGCACGTTGCTAAGATGCTTTTAACATCATTTTGAAATGCGTTTTTATTTTGAAAGTCAGAAAAACAAAAGGCTGTCTTTCAACTCTATCTGCTCTCTGAACGTATTCCTTTTGCAAGTTGTCTCTATTCTCAAGTGACTCGCCGGTACCAAGTAGATTTTTGGTTCTCGCTCAGCGTGTTCTTCTACTGTGGAATGTATTCTAAAGATTTTCTTTTCTTTCTTTAGCGTGAGTATGACAAAGGATTTTAGAACTGCGACTCAATCAACATAGTACTAGACTAAACTTTCTACTTGTATTAAACGAAACTAATCTGTATGTTCTTATAGTTTTACAGCTTTTAATAGTAGTACACAGGAGTCGATGTCCAAGTTTAGTTCGAATAATAAGGAGATTCGCAAATTGGAAACTGGTACTTTACTATAAAATTTTAATAATTACAACAATGATAATTCAAACTTAAATAGGTGAATTTCTAAATCCAACATAATGTCGTGTATGTAGATGTTTAATCTGCCGATATGTAGTTAAAAGATTGTTGATTCATAATATAATACCTTTTGAATTAGAATTGAACTTATCATAAGTATAATTAGACAAATTTTCAGTCCAACTTTATAGCTAAGAGTCTCTGTAATATTTTTCATCTATTTTCAAATTGATGTTAGACTCTTGAATCTTCATTTATAATAAACTTGACATCAGACAAAACATGAATAATCACGTAGTTAAGATACAGATTTAGTTATGCTTTATTGTATGTTGTTTAAAACTCATCGAATAAATATCACAAAATGAAGTTTGCCACCCAAAAACAATCCTTAAAAAATACGAAATATTCTGACATATAACCGACATTTAGTCTAATGTTGAAATGACTAGGAGATCTTCTAGAGTGATAAGACAAAAGATCCAATATTTGTAATTGAAACATATTTATTTTTCTCTTAAATCTAGCGCATATTAGTCATTAAGTATGGATTATTTTAAAAAATTGAAGTGCTCAAATGGATGTGGATGTCGGATGTGAGTATGAGTAAAAATAAAGATAATCTACACTCGAATCATCGACACTCCCACATTCACACTACATCTACACAATCATTTATTTTGTACTAAATATACATGTAGTTTTCCTGAGGAGGACAAGGAGGTCGGATTTAAATAAAATATGTTTTTTCTATTCTTTATATTTGGAGTAATGCAAAATAAATAAATAATCGTTATAGAAAATATTTTTATGTCGTTGACTATGGAACGTCTCACACGATTTTATGTTAATGTGTTCTGCCATTGCTTCTTCCTACGGATTAATATTTTTAGTTTGCTCTCTTTTTTCAACATAGGACGTAAGAAGCAAAGAGATTATTTTGTTTTTCTTTAATCATAACAATGTGAATCATTTTTTCAAGTAAATTTCTATTGTTCAATTTTTTTGATATTGTAATATTTCAAATAATTAAAAGGAAATGATTTTGTCCAATCAGATTTCAAATTTAAATCTACTTCAACCAATTTTTAGTAAAAACCAATTTCTTATTTCGATGAAGATGATTTCTGACTAGATATGTGTAAGGCTAAGTTTATTCTTTAGTTTCGGTCCCGGTAAATTATTCTGATACCGATCTATAGAAATATATTCCTATCACTTCTAGAATAATTCTTCAATACTCTTTTCCCTGATCTATTTAGTTTACTACTAGTACTTTTTTTCGATAATATTTATTGAATCATGTTCTGATTTACAACACGATGTGCTTAAAATAACAGAATATTTTTACTGTAAACTTGAGTCCCGGTGGCCACAAAATTTTGTTTTCGTGGTACTGGTTTCGATATCGGTTCGAATGAATGGAACTGGTCCCGCACATTTCTACTCATGATGTTTTTCTTTTTGTATTACAATATCTTAGTGTGACAACAACAAAATTGTTTTATGATGTACGAAAATTTTTATCTGAAACATGGCAAAGTCAAGGGTATTATATAGTCTTGGATTCTTGTTCTGGTTCCGATGGAGTTTTTCTTCGTCCCGCACATGTCGGTTCTCCATTAATTGACACAAATAGTTGTTTTGACGGTAATAAAGAAAATAAATTAATTTTTTTTATAGTAAGTCAATATTTTCGTCAGATGGTGAACTATCTATAATTTCACATTCTGAAAATGAGACGAAATGATATTCTCGGTTTTTATTTTCTCAATATTTATTGTTGCTTATTGAACTCAAATTGCCATAGGATCGTCTAATAAGAGAACCAATTTGTGTTCATTTATTGTTAGATAAAACAATGATTATTTTTCTTTTCTTCTAATATCAATCTTTGTTGCAATACTAAACATTTTTTTAAATAAAGTAGATCACCGGCGTGCAAATGCTTCATTCGAAAAAAAAATACATGTCTTAAATTAAATGCAGAATCAATATCTAAATCTTTGCTTTCATTGTCTTATGAGTATAAGCATTTTTTATTAGATAATATATCCATTGTTTCCATATTCATTAATTGTTGATGTCCATAAAGGCAATACCCGTAAACGAATAATATCAGATTTGTATGTATATATATGAATAGATCTATCCATTACTCAACGACATAGATTCGTATAAAGAAATAAACTGTTTATTAAATACAAGTAAGCAGCTATTTGACGATACCATCGTATTTTGACTTTCTTTTGATAGAAAACGTGATAGAACTGATGAATTTACCCGATGAAATGATATTAGCTATTATGAATAAAGTCAAACATAAAGTATTATTGCTTTGTTCTATTATTGGTACTGGAAATAATCGTTTAGAACAACTTGCATTAGACAATTGTTATTCAATCGATTTAACCTTTGATTATAGTCATTCGCCATACGATCTGCTGGTCCAACGATTTTATTCATCTGTTCTACCCCATATTTCTGATAATATTCAATCTCTAACAATCAATTTTAAACATTTGTTACGTATTAACAGAGTTGCCAAAGCATATAGTAATGAAATTCTACCTAATTTAATATATGTCAAAATAATGATCGGTCATGTCCATCTTAAGACAGGAAAACCTATCATAGTAGGTAAACTCTAATGTAGATACAATTTTTTTTTACTTTTATACATTATTAATTCTTGCTGTTGTTCTGAGTTAGTAGTAGAGATCCATGAATCTGGAATTTCGATAGGCTCATTTTTGGCGAAGAAGACACAAAACTGAGTTATATGTGGCTGGAAGATAAATCAAAAATGATTTCAGATTACCGGTTAAAAGTCGAATATCCCTCTCTTGAGTGACATTACGCTAATTGGTATAAAACATGTAACGAAAAGCTTCATATTCAATAAGAAATACTTCTGTTTAATGTAGTATGATAGAGTATAAGGCGAAAAACAAAGCCCTGTTAACTGGCTTCTAAATGAAATAACCAGTTAAAATTGAAACTTTTCTGTGGGTGTAAATTCTTGTTATGATAACTTCATTGATTCATAGACGCAATTTGCAGTTTTGATTTTATGAACCATATTGAAGAGCGTTGCTTTCAACTATCTTATGGAAGCAGCCTTAAAATTTCAACATGATCCACTGTCACGATATGACATCTAAATCAAGTGTTCCTTGGATACAGTATAAAAGAATTAAAAGAAAGAAATTTCGCCCATAAGTAAGCTTTATGATCCTTAGAATGTCCTCAAATTTTCAGTCAAAATCCACGCTTCCTTCTCGAGACATGACACGTTGAAAAAGAATCGTTGATTATGTGAAATGTCACAGTTTTTTCTTTCCAATATCTCGACAAGAGAGCATCGATATCATCTGAAAAGTTCAAATAAAATTTTTTTTTTTTCGTTTTTCGATAAGGCTGTATATTCCTTTCAAGGAATATTCAATAACTCCTAAAGAAGAACAAGGAAATTTGGTTTGAGCTATAATATGAGCTTATTGAAGGTCCATAATCTTTATTTTTGTGACCAGGTTTTCCTTCCATTACAAGAAAAATACACCTTCCGCTTTTAAGCGTTAAATAATAAAAAACGAATGATTAAGTTCTATTCTCTCTTTAAATTAGATGAGATGTTTTTTTTCAAAGAATTTCCATTGCGAGAAATTAATTATTTATTGAGATTAATAAATTTATCAATGGAAGCATTTTATTAAATCTTATTTGTGTTGAAATTAAATTTCAATATTTTTTATTTTATGAATAAATAAATTATAAGATGATTGTGTTAGTTTCATAGTTGAGTACAATGATTGGTTTGTTTGAACCGAAGTCAAATTTTAATTAAAACTCACATTTACTAGAATGAATACAATTTGATGTGAATGTTATATGTTGATGTTTTTATATATATAGATTATTATGATGACAGTTCAGCATGTCGTTTATCTTGCTTCTCAACCATTCCAGAATTATATCATCTGAATCAAACAATCAGTAATATACTCTTATCATTCTTTCGTCGTTCACCACTAATGCGCTATACTATCTCGTTTGAATTCGATTCTGATTGTGTTCTTCATGTTCCATCAAAGGGTGAAGGATTATTCTTTCCTCAATCACTCTGTCTTACTCATATTCACATTGGATTAATTCATTTCGATGATTTGATTCGTTTACTCTATCAACTTAGTTGTCAACTGCAGTCATTATCTGTTGTTATAGAAATTATTTCTGTACATGAAAATCTAACTATACCTGAAATAGTATCGGTAAATGATTTTTTTTTTAAATTTTATATTTCAATAAATTGATGTCATTCAGGTTTCCTGTCCCAATTTGAAACAGTTGACAGTGACAGTCTATCGCAATGATTCATCGTTATGAATTGTTGCTTTCTCTTTTACAACGTTTATCAACAGTCAAACATTTAACATTATTATTGGCTATCATTATAGATGGTGTTCAATCGAATCACTTTATTGATGGATCTAATTTAAAAAGAAATATTATTTCACTTATGCCACATCTATGTCATGTTAATTTTCATATTCGTTCAGTATTACGAGATGCTTCACATATAGAAATTGATGCAATTCGTCAAAGCTTTATTAAAGAACAAGAATCTGTTGATTGTGCACTCGAATATTTCACTATTAATTATGGTCAATGCCATATCTATTCAGTTTCATTTATTGGTACTCGTCTTGATTTCATCTCGAATCAATTTCCACTATTCGATGTTAAAAATAGATTTTCAAATGTCACTA